CGTCGGCTCCTCAGTACTATGTATGAGGTAGCCATTTCGTATCACATGGTTGTACAGTCGGATCCCACTGGTGGAATTCAACCTGGAATGCCATGCTCGATGTTTGCAGTTGAAGTCCCCTGCCACAATAAGTGGACCCGAGTAGTCTAAAAGGACTTCCAGATCCGCCTCTTGCAGCCTATTACCACACCTGACATACACCGATGTGATTTTTAACGGCACACCTCCCGTCATATTGACCACCACGGAAGCCGCTTCGATGCTCTGCATGTCAGCGTTTGTGCTTCTGTGGTAGTCAATACCGCGTTTCACTAGCACTGCCAAGCCGCCACCCCGTCCAGTCAATCTATCAGCCCGGATAACATCGTAATTCGGGAAAGCTAGACGATCTCCCGGATTAAGTAATGTTTCCTGCAGCAAGGCCACATCTATACTTTCGTCCACAAGAGCTTGATGAAATTCCCGTCTTTTGGGAATGTCCCTTAGACCCAAACAATTCCAAAAAAGAATTTTGATAAATGCAGGCTGTCGTCGATTGTACCTAGCCATTTGCAGGAAAGATCGCCTGCAAAGCCTGTGTTGCGCTAATCAGAGGACCTATGATCTGCTGTAAGGACCTTAGCGCGGTTGCCAGGTCCACATTTTGCGTGTTCGCAGAAGATCCCACAGAGGGGGCAGCCCGGGTTGCATCCCTAGCTGCATCCGCGTAACTTACATTGCGCCTTTGCGCTATCACTTGCAGATTTTTCTTAGGGGCAAATCTGCAAGTTCGGCTATTCGCTGGATGCCCCCCTCCACAGTTCGCGCACTTTCGTTCCTCTTGTTCTGTTTGAGGGCATAAGTGGGTCATGTGGTCAGAGGCACATTTTAGACATTTAGGTGGTGCAGTGCAGTAAGATTGCGCATGCCCATATTTTTGGCAGCGGTGACACTGCCCGATGAGTCTTGAGTTCTTTTGAACTTCGACTCGGATAGCCAAACCTAGCAGCTCGTGTTCGTTGAACAGCTGCTGAGATTTTTCTATCTTGGGCAGTATGACTACCACCAAAGGCATGGGCACGCCGCCACCGCGTTTCAGGCGAATTATGTGCAGGGGGGAATATCCCCTCTGTTGCAACTCTTCCTTGATCTCAGTTTCCGAAAGTGTCGCATGTACTCCTCTGATTACAGCATGAATGTTCCTCTCGGAGGGTAGAGGGAAAGTGTGATGGGGCACCTCTTCCTCCCTGAAGAGACGAATAATCCTGCGGTAATAATCCTCGGACTTGGGAATTATCCTGATTCCTGCATCGACGGCAACCGCGCGTTCGAATTTGATGCCCAAGGAAATAAACTTGTGATTTACGCCTCGCCATCTCGAAGCATCACGAAGAACGATGGGGGTAACACGTACCTTGCGTGGGGGCTGTGCAGTCGTGTCTTCTGGTACCTGAGATGTCGAAGGCGTGGAAGTATCCGATAGATTAGGCACAGGCTGTTTATTCGAGTCGCTTGCAGTTGAATGAGATGTTTCAGACTGCGATTTTGGTGAAGGGAGAGGAGGAAAGCCTGTCGTGTCGGTCTTGTTTCGTCGCGTTTTACGGGGCTTAACCTTGGTAAAACCGTCAGGGAGTGTATCGTCGTCTGTGGAAAGATCGCTTGAGTTATTTAACGGTCTCTTAAGATTGACAGCTATGTCTTTACTGGGATTTTTGGGAAGTGTTTGGGAAGAATTTGTAATATTTAGATGGGAAGGTACCTGGGTTTTCAGTAGGAGGTCTAATTTAACTGTTAGGTCGGTAATTGTCCGCTGCTGGGCTTCGATGATCATCATCAATCTTTCATTGGTCTTCTTATCATCGTCCTTTTTTGACAGCTCCTGTCGAACCATCTCCAATTCGGCTCTCAGCTCCTCTATGGTCTGCTCCTTCGACTCCATCTCCATTGCCATGGTGGAAGCGCCATTTCCTGACCCCCCTGGGTCAGTTTCCATATTAAACACCTCGGTTATCTCGCTTTTCGTCTAAAAAATTTTCCGGATCGAAATTACGGGACAGCTGCTATCAGTGCCCTATACAGGGCGATTTCGCCGGAGATTTGGTGTCGGCCATTTTCCGCTGCGGCCTTGCTTGAGAAGGGATATTGGGCTCCAATCACCAGTTTATGGAATAGTACCCTTTTTCGTACCTGCATTACCGTTAGCTGTTTATTATGGTTATTGTTTGGTGCTAGTCTACTTCATTTTTATGGGATTTTAACCTCTTCTACGGTAAGTTCATTTTTTTATACCATCTGACCACGTGCATTAATGCACGTCCAGAAGAAGTTTGTTCAATATCTGCTTCCTGTTGGTGGCTTTGTAGCTGTTTTGTAGTCAGTTGTACCAGATTTTGCTGAGAACCATCCCTATATCTTGAGAAAAAACCCTGATGTAAACAGGTAAAAAATATTCTAATTAACTCTTTTATGACTATTTATATACTGATTATTTTTGACTGAAATTCTTAAACTTTGTCTGACATTTTTCGTCTTCAAATATGGTTAGTGCCACATTGGCACCGTCTATTGAGCTTACTTTATTACTTTTATGATAATTTCACTTTTTAAGCTACCATAACTTTTTTAGAACAAGGGATAACTTTGTGAGGGTGTACTTTAATACATTGCTTTACTTTTCTTATAAAAATATACATACTTTTTCCTTACGAAACCGTCCACTAATGGCCACTGGTTTTAAACAAAAAGCCTAAACTTTTGTGAGCTGAGGCCATCTCGACTGCGTCTAGAGCCGGGACTGGAAGAAGTCTTTAATCCAGCTAATTTTTGGTTTTAGTTTTATTTTTGTATAAAAACACTCCACTCCGGCGTTATAATATTTGTAAAATCTTCGTTCGTTACGTACCGTAGCGAGGTTACATTTTAAACATATCCTTGTGCTGCCATTATAAATAATATCTTTTTTTTTAATTTCAATAGCTATAGTGGAACATTTTATTGTGGGACATATGTGTTATTTAATTGGTTAATATAATGTGATTGTTTTAAGTATTTTGCGATTTATTTGGCTCTCTGTACAATTAATTAGTTGACGTCATCGCTATTAGATTGTTTTCGTTTGTGTGGGTAGTCAAGGGAAGCAAGTTTCGATTAACATCTCGGGGATTTGTGGCTTAATCCGTCACTGGCGCTCTTTAACCCCCCCTACTGTCCGCTTTATTGGCCCAAATTTGCACGCCACTAGACAGCTGTTTTGCATTGACCGACCACTTGAGTTTATTATCGTGTTTTATTAAATTATTATTAATTAAAAAAATGTGGAAACACACCACAATTTTCTTTATTTATAAAAAAAGCCGAGTAATAAAACACTAAATTACTTGTTACTGCTTTTCGATTTAACGACACTTCAAGACGGCATGTCGTTTATTTTTATTAACTATGAACCGAAATCACATTTGTATGACTATAAAGGGCAATATTCATTCACTTTTGTTGTATCGTAATAATAGGGTAAAGTCGAATAAAGCGTACCGCCGGTTAAATCGTACCACCACCATTTTTGAGATAATGATCTACCACCCGTAACACCTGTTGTCAAAATTTAGAAGCTTTTATGATTATATTTGCCCCGCCCAAATTATTCTTTGCAGTTCACTTCACACTGTAAGTCAGTTTGAGGTTAAAGTAAAAGCAGTGTTGTTCATGTTATTTTTTGCTCCTATTCATAAGCTTTTTTTACATTTGGTAAGTAGATATTTTTAAGACATATTTCTTACGTATTTTATGGGCATGTAGTTCGTTGTTGCTGTAATAAATAATTGAAAAAGGGTTTGTTGAGGTTGAAATTTAATTGATAAACATAAATTCGTGCTTGTTCTGTATATCGTACCGCCCACGGTTTTGTAAATCGTACCGGTACGATTTACCCAACTGAGGTTCTTTGCTTCGACTTTCAACAAGTTTTTTATTACAGGTTTTTAAAACAGAAGATGAGTATAGTAAGAAATAAGAAAATAACAAGACGGGAATACTGTCGATGGACCTCAGAAGATATGGGCCATGCGATTAATACATCCAAACAAAACCAGTGTGGTTTTAATGAGTGCTGCAGGCGTTATAACATTCCAAAGTCGACTTTTAGAAGGCACTTGCGCTCTTTAAATAAAAAGGCAAATGAAAATGTTGTCTTTGGGTCGACACACAACTTTTAGCCCTGAAATTCAAATGGAATTGGCAAAACATATTTTCAAATTGGAAGAAAGATTTTTTGGTGTAACAATTCGGGATGTTCGACGATTGGCTTTTCAAATAGTTGTTCGGAATGATATTCCACACCGTTTCAATATCAATAAGGAAATGGCGGGAAAAGGATGGTATTATTCTTTTATGGACCGACATCCTGAACTGTCACTTAGACAACCAGAGAATATTTCCATGGCCAGAGCAACTGGATTCAACCAAAAAAACGTCCATGAGTTTTTTGATATTTTATAAAAATGTGTTGATGAAAACGGTTTTACGGGTCAAAAAATTTATAATGTTGATTAAAGTGGATTTTCAACAGTTCTGAAACGGAATCGAAAAATAATTGCACGTAGAGGAAAGCACCACGTTGGAGGTATAGCAAGTGGTGAAAGGGGCGTAAATACCACAGTTGTCGTTTGTGCCAGTGCTGCCAGTCAAACTGTACCGCCCATGATAACTTTTAATTATTCTTACAGTTTCAGATACTGGATATATAAATAGTGAACTTTTTATTAAATGGTTACAGCACTTCATTGAGTACGTAAAACCAAGTACTGAAAAAAAGTTTTACTTTTACTAGATGGCCACACAACGCACTCTAAAAATCTAGCGGCACTCATCTTAGCAAAAAGTCATGAAATTGTACTACTGCAACTTCCTGGCCATAATACAAACCGGTTGCAGCCGTTAGACGTGAGCTTTTTTAAGCCTATGGAATCCTATTTTTTTCAAGGTCTAGAAACAGCAATCCTGGTAACACTGTTTCTCAATACATCATGACTGGATTGCTCTCTGATGTCTATGCAAAGACAGCATCAATCAGCACTATAATGAATGGTGTCAAAAGAACTGGAATATGGCCGGTTGACCGCACTGTATTTTCTGAGACAGATTTTATCGCTGCTAATGCCTTGCTTGAAAATGATTCAGAAAGTGCAAGTGAGGACTCAGAGGCAGAAAATCTACGTGAAACAACTGCTGAGCCTAAAGGCGATGCTACTGAGCCACCACTTCACAGTGATAGTACTGAACAAAACAAAAATTGCAACACAACAGATCTCAATACCTCTATTGAAGAAATTTACCCTCTACCCGAGAATAAAGGTTACGCCAAGAGACGAAAATTTTCTCAACCAGCCGTCATTCTGAGCACCACGCCCTATAAGGAAGAATTAGAAAACAAATGTAACCAAAGATAAAAAAAAGTAAAAAAAAATCTTGAGCTTCGTTCTACTTCTCTTTTTGAAGCACGTGACGGTTAATCTTCCACTTCAAAATCTGTCAAGGTAAAGGCTCAAATTGAATATGATCCTACAATTGGTACTACTTTATATGTGAAGAGAGCATTATTCAAGAGATGGTGAGATGTATTAAATGTGAAAAATGGGCCCACACATCATGTGCAGGAACCAAAAAACAAATACAAAAATATGTGTGTGAGAACTGTAAATAACAAATTAATGGTACGATTTAAAAACCGATGGTACGATTAAACCAACCTGTTCGCTTAATCGTACAACTTGCAAGCCTTTCTATTTTTGTATTTTTTTGCTTAAGATGTTTGATTCAGTTGAACTTTTGATTCATAGAAAGCTAAATGTTTATTTGTGCTTGTGTACTAATATTATCAATAAAGAGTTTAATTTTTGAGTACAGTGGTCAAAAATTTAAAAATCGGTACGATTTACCCTACTTTACTACTATTTATTTAGTTGGATAGGATCCAGAATTGTGAACTCAAGTATCTCAGACTTTTCGAACAGACAGTGGTCTTTTCACCTCCGCAGTAGGTGATTCTGGTAATAGATGTCACTTTGTGATGTCTTATTTTTATGAACGTTAGTATATTACTCCTCTCTGGAGTGATCTGTTTGGACATTGAATATGAAACGTCGTGATCGTTGATTTACATATAAATGAAGGTAAATGACACTATATACAATACAAATCTTTAAATCTATTAAAAGTGAATTCAGTGATATTCCATATTATGTCAATAATGAAAAAAAATACATACCTCATTTGAGAAGGATATTGTGTAGATCCAGGCCGAGGTATCCTGGGGACCCGCTCCCCCTAAATATTCAAGCTTAACAAAATTCAGCCGTGTTTTCTTCTCCCCTCCAGAACCTTTTTGGGTGGGTAATTTCAAGTTCATCATCTGGAGACACCCCCAAAATATTTTCTAGACTTAGATCTAGATCCCCTGTCTTGCACATTAATGGCCTATGCTTATGCTCAACCAATAATGGCTTACTTCTCGACTTGCTTAGGTAATGCACTGTCTCAATTCTCAGAATCTTATTGACAAAACAACACCGGACGATCAGCCGTGTCAGACGGCTCCGCAGCGATTCGATATAATTACGACAACCCAATTTTATAGCCATACCCCCGTATCGCAATGAGGAACGATCACTGGTTATATATACCACTTATAAATTGCGGGTTCGCTGGTGGGCTGTGTAATAAATTGCTATGCAATAACAGTTTTAATAGAAGACGCGTTCCGCCATACCAGCGGAAAATATGGAAATTTTGTTTGCCAGAGTTCGACGGCGGGCGCGTCGAACGCCGCCACGTAGCAAGCACACTGCCAACGTTGGAACTTATGATAGGAAATTATAATGGATCAAACTTATTTAAAAAGCGTTGATGCTGGTGTAGGCCAAAGGAACGGGAGGACTCGCAAGAATTTAATATCCGCTTTTGATAAGTTTTCCGAGGAAAGCTTTGGTAAAAAGTTTTGCGGGATGGACGATAAATTCTATGGTTAGCAGGATGTTGGCAATGTAAACATGATACTCTCCAAAAGACAGCTAGCCATAGACAGCTGTTTCGTGCCTTTTGGCTACTTATCAGCATGGTCTACACTGTGGAGAGTGCTTAGCAGCTATTTGTTCGCACTATAAATATATCAATTCGCGTTTAATAGCCCAGTCGCCATGGCGGTATAGTAGATGTGGTCTACATGATGCTTTCAGGACGAAACGGCTGTCTATGATTGGTTGTCATTTGGTCGGACGGATGAAACAGCTGTCTATGATTGGTTGTAATTTGGACGGACGGATAAAAGCATCATGCTTAGTTTATTCAGTGGCAAGTAGACCATACGAGCCATACGCCAGACTCGTCAGCCATCTAGCGGTCGCAAGGTGACTTCCAACAAATAGCTGCTATGAACTTTCTGCAGTGGTCGATTGTGGTAATATATGGCGCTTTGCGCTTATTTCGATGTTAGCAATACTTGAGGAATATGTGAAGGTGTTTCAACGTTTTTTATTTCCCACGCCTACTGGCGAGGATATATTATAGTCGCGAAAAATTTCAAAAATGGGATATAATGTTTTTTGAGCGTTATATATGACATGTAGATCACGAAAAACCATGTCAGTCACTTTTCTATGTCTACCGGTATATCTCACTGTCTGTTGGTCTGTCTGCAAATTCTTGGCTCGTCTATAACTTGTAAAGTACTGTTCGTATTTGGATGAAATTCCCACACAAGCTTACCACTATCCCAAGGACGGAAAATCTTTGTAGTTTTTGAAAATCGGTCCAGTGACGGCAGAGAAAAATGCAAATAAATAAAAATCGCTCAAACTTTTCTTGATGTTTCAGAGGATCCTGTTTTTTGACAAAATTGGGGGTGGGAGGGGTTGTAAGTGGATGAGGGAGGGTGTATCGCAATTTCTGATGCTAGTATATTAAAACGCTTCCAATCCCGGTCATTCGTTGCACCTATTATACATTTATATATTTCGCATATGGTAGGTTTCCCCTTCCATTTGCCCTTCCGGGTGTCTGCAAAATTGGGGTTTTCCTTTACACGACGTGTAGAGCTTGAGAAAATTTGCGGGTTTTCTTAGACACACCAGTGTCTTGTGAGAACCGAGATATTAGGATTCGCAAACTCGATCAAACCTGAATCGAACCGAAGCCGCTCGTGTCCTATCCCTCGATCACGTTCACAGCGCCAGTGCCAGCGTACAGTTATACGACGTACGTCTACGATGCAAATACGGATTTTACGACAGAGCCGCACTTGGAATTTCAAATCTACTGAACAGTAAGTACTTTTTCATTTATTTTTTTACTTGTTAGCTCACGGTTCACCAGACATTAGCTTTGTTATATCAAGCGTGGTTGTGTCTGAAAACGAAAACCCCAACTTTGCGGACACCCTGTATATACATACGAGGTGCGTGTGATGTTATCTATATACAGATACGAGGATTAAGCTTGCAGTGTAGTTTGATGGGGTTACTAGATTTCGTGAGGTAATATTGTTTAGTATAGTGTGTACCGGGTATTTCAAATGCGACCCTCACCATTGGGATCTTTTAAACGGTAAGAGATGCCAAGTCGCTTAAGTAGGGTCAAAGTTAAGGTCACTAACAAAGGACCGCTCAGAAAGTTTCGAAATTCAAAGTACTTCCAGAGAGGCGGAAAAAACGAATTATCCCAAAATAATTTTTAATTTTTCTAGCCTTATTTGTAGTAGGATTTTAAAATAAATTGCACATTAACGTTGTCACTTTTTCTTCTCTACAATATGGCATAATTAGAATATACGACGTTTCATCTCTTGTCCTCCAGCATCAACTTTATTATTTCTTATGGACGACATATTAGATTTTCGCGCATATAAATAGGGTTTTTAATTCTGATTTAAAAAATGTATAACAAGTCATACATTGATATTGCCAAACCTTAGTTATTCCAGAAAAACAGGTCTTGAAATTATCGGACACGTCGGTCATTTGATTCGCATAGTAGATTTATCCCAAAATCGTTTTTATTTTTTCCTGACTTTATTTGAGATGAGATTCCAAAATAAATTGCACGTTGTCATTGCCACTTATTCTCCTCTACAATTCAATGTTTTTTCTTTCGACTTCCGTCACCAACTTTGTTTTGTCTTATGGGCGATATACTGGATTTTTTTACATTTAAATGGACTTTTCCAAATTCAATGATTTTATATATGATATAGTCTTTGTTGGCCATGAATTTGTTGTTGTAACGAAAATTATAGAGAAATAAAGTGGTATGGTAAAATTTGAACTCGAAATGAAATTTTTGTCAAGGGAAATAATAATAAACATGAATAGGTAAAGCATAGCAGATGTTGAAAATGTTGCCCTTTATTTTGCAGGCAAAGGCTGAGTCTTCTCTGTATACTGTTCAATTGATTTCCCTTCTTCACAGCCTCCCAAACTCTGTTACTATGTTCAATTTGAGGTCTGGCTTGCTATACGAAAAAAGTGACTATGATTATTTCAAAGCCTACCAAGGAAATTCTGTTTTTTTAGATAAACAGAGGTTTGGAAATATCAATGTATGACATTTTAATAAATTTTTGGAATCAGAATTAAAAACTATATTCATCTGCGCAAAAGTCCAATACGGCGTCCGTACGAAAAAAAAGTTGATGCTGGAGGACAAGAGACCAAACATCATATTGAAATTCTAACTTTGCCATCTTGTTGAGGAGAAATGTGCAATTTATTCTAACATCCCACTACAAATGAAGTCAAGAAAAAATTGAAACGATGTTGGTAAAATTTGGTTTTTTCTGTCGCTCTCAGGAATTAGTCTGAATTTCGAAACTCTTTAAGCAGCATTTTGTTACTTGCTTAAATACGCAATTTTACCCCCATTTAAGCGACTTTTTTTATATCGAAACAGTCGCGCAGGCAGAAGCCTAAATGCCGGAACACCGCGGCTGCTATGATGATCCCAAAGAAATTTTGTTAATTTAATTTTTGAACTGCCTAAGGTTAGTAGAACTGGGAAAAGCTTCCTCTTGTAGATTGTTCCACAATCTCGACACCCTCGGGATAAAGGAGCGGTCGTATTGGCCAGTTCTGGATGTACGAGGTTCGACATGGTTAGGATGGGACGCCCACGTCAGGCGGGTGTGTCAGGCAGGCATATGACGCGGCAGCATCATGGAAGAGAGCTCTGAGGAGCAAAGCCCGTTGGAAAGCTAGATCGCCGACGGCCTGCCGGTGCGAAAGAGTCCCGAGACTGTCTGTTAGAGAAGAGTCGTCGATCAGTCGGACAACCCTCCTCTGGACAGCATCGAGCATGGATAATGTAGTCGGGGCGGCAGCACCCCAAACGTGTGAGCGATACTCGAGGCTAGGCCTTATCTGGGCCTTGTACAGAGTGAGAAAAGTACTTCTTAGCCCTA